GGTCAGAGACTGGCTCAGAAGGCTAGTGTCACGGCTCGCGCTCTTCCCCCGCCCGCGGGTAGCGGCAGGAAGAATCGCGGAAGGTGAGAAGGTGAGTAAAAGACCTAAGGGATGTGATCCAGACAGGGCGTCAGTGCTTTTGTCCGGATCAGAGTGATATCTACTCAACGACCCTTTAAGATGGTCTAGGGGTAAAAGGAGTAACATTAAATCTGTGGCAAATCTGTAAACTTGATGGAGGCAGCCAAGAGACAATGCAGGGACAAAAACTGCCAACGAAAGGGATTTAATATACAAGGTGAAAAGAATCCATATAACTACAAAATATAAATCATTAAAGAGACAACCCATATGTACAAAATATATATGTGTATCTAATGAGACTGGTGGTTGTGTGTATAACCCTTCTGCTAGTTTATTTGCAGTGTTTCCCGGGACCTGTGTGTTTCTGTCCCTTTCTAGGGTAGGTCCTCGATGGGCACCCCCTCTGCTGGGTTCAGAAACCGGGTGCTCGACTTGCAGTGCTTATTTCACTCGTCGATATATGTCCAGACGGTAAGTAACAGAAGGTAAGTAAGGTTTCGGTTTCATACTTCCTGGATCATGCGGCTATAACACAGGCTTCTGCGGGAGTTTTGTGATTATCAGGCCCCCGGTGTCAACTGCAAAAATTTCCTGGACGTCCGGGCTGGGGTTACGCTTTCATGCTACCCTGACTGGTCTACCATATCTGGGTCGCCCTGAGTGGTTTTCCCGATCACCAGGATATCCCCTCTTGTGGAGGCATCGAGCGGGAGGCATAAGTGGCATTACGAGAAACTTCCTGTGTAAATGCTGTCTCGGGCAGTGCTCCCCTCACATTTTGAGGGTTGTATTTGAGCTTGCCTCTCCCGTTTGGCCCAGTACTTCCGGGTATCTGTAAACAGATGCTTGGAAAACTCTAAAATAAGTGCAGCACGTTAAGCTTTGCACACTTTTCTACAAATCCACATAAGTGGTAAGTGTGCACGTTATGCTTTGCCCACTTTTCTAAAATCCTGTATGGTAGGGGTTACGCGTTTTTGACCTCGTTCCCTTTCTCTGAGTTGGTTAGACCCCGGTTCCTTGGGCTCCACTCAACTAGTGTGTCTCAGCTGAATAATTGCTAGCTGTTCCACCATTGGAACATGCTGTAGGTTGAGCTCCCTCTCGTTGAGAGCTGGATGTTGCTCCCTCAGTTACAGATTTACTGCTAGCCAAGGCGAGGGCCTTTCTTCTGATGAGATGGCTGAGTTACGCCGCACCACGGATCTTGCTCTTCGTGCTACTAAGCAGGCTGCCTCTGCCATGGGCAGATCTATGGCAGCGATGGTAGTAACGGAGAGGCAGCTGTGGGTAAACCTGGCAGACATCGGGAAGAAAGAAAGGGGTTTTCTTCTCGATGCCCCGGTTTCGCCCTCTGAACTTTTTGGTACATCCGTTGAGGCGGTCGTCGAAAAGTTCAGGGAGGCGAAGGCGCGCTCAGCGGCCTTCAAAACCTTCATTCCACGAAGGTCCAGGTCTGAGCCCGAACAACCCAGGGGTCCTGGTCCGTCTCGATTTGAGGATCAGAGACGAGCACAGAAGGCTAGTGTCGCGACTCGCGCTCCTCCTCCGCCTGCGGGTAGGGGTAGGAAGTATCGTGGGTCGAAGGGAGGTAGGCAGGACCTGAGGGATGTGATCCAGACAAGGCGTCATCGCTTTCGTCCGGATCAGAGTAATACTTAGGTATCCACTCTTTTCCTCAGGGGGTGTAACATCTACCCCTTTCTTCCCCTTCCTAATTCCCCTGTAACCACCATATCGCCACCTGACCGAGGTCAGGTGGAAGCTTCCTGCATAACAGTCTCCTTCTGGACCTATGATGTTTTTGGTTGGTTCTATGGTTATCATAGTAACCACCTTACTGAAGGTCCGGTCTAGAGGCTTTTCCGGACAGAGCTCCAACGCGGGAGCCGTGGTGGGTGAGTACGATCCATGTCTAAATATATGTATATAAATATATGTATGTGCTATGGAATTGGTGGTTGTGTGTACCCTTCTGCTAGTTTCTTTGCAGTGTTTCCCGTGCTGGGTTCAGAAACCGGGTGCTCGACTTGCAGTGTTTATTTCACTCGTCGAGATATGTCCAGAAGGTAAGTAAGGTTTCTGTTTCATACTTCCTGGATCATGCGGCTATAACACAGGCTTCTGCGGGAGTTTTGTGATTATCAGGCCCCCGGTGTCACTGCAGAAAATTTCCTGGACGTCCGGGCTGGGGTTTACGCTTTCATGCTACCCTGACTGGTCTACCGTATCCGGGTCGCCCTGAGGGGTTTTTCCCGATCACCAGGATATCCCCTTGAGGCATCACCCCCCCTCACCATTGAGGGTTATTGTGAGTATGATGTTTCTTTCGAGCGTTAATCCTCTCTGAGGAGTTAGATTCCTCGCTCCATGGGCTGTCCTCGTGGTAGTATTGAGACAATGCTCCCCTTTTATCAAAGGGTTACCTGAATGAGAGTTTGGCTAGACTGCAGTGTGCTTACCCCTCTGATTTTTCAATCATGCTGCAGGTCGAGCTCCCTCTCGTTGAGAGCTGGGTTTGTGCTCCCTCAGCCAAGGTAAACTACTGCTAGCGTTCCTGCATTGGAACATGCTGTAGGCCGAGCCCCCTTCTCGACTGAGAACTAGGTGTGTTGCCCCCACAGCTAAGTAAACTATTGCTAGCTGTTCCAGTTTGGAACATGCTGCAGGTCGAGCCCCGTCTCGGTTTGAGAGCTGAGTGTGTTGCTCCCTCAGCTGAATAACTGCTAGCTGTTCCACCATGGGAACATGCTGTAGGTTGAGCTCCCTCTCCATTGAGAGTTGGATGTTCTCCCCCAGCTACAGATTTACTGCTAGCCACTCCAGCATTATAGCCGTAGATATAGCGTCTGGGGATACGCTATTTTTATCTATAGGCTGCCTTTTCAGGGTGCCACGAGAACCCCTAGAACGGTATGCAAGTGTAGTGCACGTTATGCTTTGCCCACTTTTCTAAAATCCACATAAGTGGTAAGTGTGCACGTTATGCTTTGCCCACTTTTCTAAAATCCACATAGCTGGTAAGTGCGCACGTTATGCTTTGCCCACTTTTCTAAAAATCCTGTATGGTAAGAGCTACGCGCAAGACTTCGTGCTCTTTTTGAGTGGTTTAAAACCCCGGTTCTGCCTTGGGCACCACTCCCCCTATGTATCCTCTGGATACCTACTTAGCAGGGTATTGCTACTAAGGATCTGTTGAGACAGTTCCTTCACCACAAGACAAACGTGCGGTAGCCCCTGTGTGACAGACCAAGACTAGTATGATTCTAGGCTCTTGGTCGTATTCCCTTAAAGGAATCTGTTTCTGATTCCAAGCCTTGAGCTCTACCCCGGGCCCAGGAGTCTGGCCCTAACAGGTAAGTTTTTTGGGGTATGTAGCCTAGGCCTTTGGCCGTAGGGAATAACGTCACTGACAGCCGTCTAAACGTCCCAGGGGCAACTCCCATAGCAATATGGTAGAGTTGGTTCTTAGTGCTCGCCATGGTTCTGGCTTGCACTCCCCTCCGCATGGTGGCGTGGGTATACCGTTCCCCATAGCGACCCCTAGAGGACGCAGTTCGAAGTTCCCATGAAAGGGAACGTCTCAGGTTACTTATGTAACCATGGTTCCCTGAGTAGGGAACGAGACACTGCGTCCTCTAGGTTTCTTGCCATGCTGCGGACGCAAGCTTCAGACGAAGAAGTGAATGATGTGTAGCTCCCGGCGCCTATTTATACTATAGTCGCACTGGTAGGGAAGTCATGGCTGTCGCCGGCCAACGAGTTGGTGTTTTTTCAATGTATGCTTCAGACACGGGTCACGACGAGGCGTTCCCCATAGCGACCCCTAGAGGACGCAGTGTCTCGTTCCCTACTCGGGGAACCATGGTTACATAAGTAACCTGAGACGTTTTTAAATCTCAGTTTTCATGAGAGAAATCACAATGATGTATTTTTCCAAATCGTAAATATAATTGTGATGATAGTTCTAGAAACCTGGGCCCTCATTTATCAACAGTGTGTAGAAAAGGTTCTATATTTTGTCCTATGAATTAAATTTAGAATGTGCCTAAGTACAAGAAAATGCATATTTATCAAACGTGCGCATGCAGTTCTTACGCACATGAGTAAGCAATCATTGTTGATAAATCCCACATGTGCGTAATTAACATGCTTGTTCACGTTCACAGTCATTTGCATTTGGAAACGCCTCCAATGAACCATATATGATGACAACACCTCCCTTTATAAATCACGTGAATGTATGTGTCCTCACCGAAATCATGGCAAAGAAAGCGATACCGACTGAGAAGCCATTCTGTGCTCTCACACTCAGCGCGGTCTTTGAAAATGCGTTCTCTGCAGAGCGCGTTGTTTGCCAAGTCTTCCAATAACGTCTTCAAATAACGCAAGATAAGCCATTGCACAGTCTGAGACAAACATTTGTCACAGCTGTCTTGTAGGGTTTGACACCAATTATGCAAATTGTCTGTTTAAAACCAGACAAATTATAAATTGAGTGTTTTATAATTAAAGGAAACACAGGACGTATAAGATTGCTTAATGCATACTGTGACACTCTTAAATGCTTTTTATGTGTAGTGTTGATATTCTACCACTAGATTCTCTGCATAAGCATGCTCAGAGGTGTGCTTATATTTACACACATTTCTACGTATAAGTACAAGTTGGTAGATCCCACACTTTGCGTGAAACTGTTCTTACGCATTCATTATGCACACATCTGTGCATACACACTGTTGATAAATGAGGCTCCTGGTGACTTGCAAAAATCATCAGTCACTAGTTTCTTCACTGGAAGGCCTCATAAATTTTACACTTGACAGACAGTTGTTTTTACATTTCTCTAAATATTACAGTATGTGTCAATTTCATCTTCAAAATATGTTTTTCTGGTTCACTTTCAACTGTTTCAGATTATACAACAACATACAGCCGCCAGGCAAACTCTCCTCTGGCTGTGACTACTCTATGTTCAAGGTGAACAGGGCTTAACTTTCTGCCTATTTTTTATTTATTTATATTGTGTATGACTGTCCTTTTAATGACTAAAGTATTGTTGACCGTCCACATAGCTGTGTAAATTTAGCTCTGTTAATGTGCTAGGGCTGTGTTGAAATGGATTAAATCATCAAAAACTGTAATTAGCCTATGAATAATTCATATTACACATATAGTGACTCTTTGTAAAGCATTTTCTTGGTTGTTTTACAGGATGGTATTGAGCCCATGTGGGAAGACCGGAGTAATAAATGTGGAGGCCGCTGGTTGATTACTCTAGCCAAGCAGCATAGACACACAGAACTTGACCATTTTTGGCTGGAAACGGTAAGAGAAAATATACTTGCTTGCTTTATTTAACCTTTGGATTTAATTTGTTTTGTCTGTTGTGATTCACATCATTCTCATTGTATCATGTAAAGGAAGTTGCTTAAATTACAGCAAAAGAAAGATTACGCTGAATACATGTTTGTTCTTGTGGCAGCTGTTGTGTCTTATTGGAGAGGGCTTTGGTTCCTTCAGTCGGGATATCTGTGGAAGTGTAATCAATATTCGTGCCAAAGGGGACAAAATTGCCATCTGGACCGCCAATGCTGAGAACTTTTTGGTAATGAAAGTACAAATGTGTAACAGGACTAACAGCACTTTTTGGTCAAGAAAGTGTTAAATTTTATATTAGGTAGGTAGGTAGGTTACCATTCGGAGGGTTGTTACATGTGTGTAGTTACAGAAATATTACAGCTCTAGACACTATGTATGTACCAATATATACTTACACTGTGGTTACATACTACATACACATCTAGTTACTATGCAAGTACACGGGTATTAGGGCCACTTAATATAAAGTGGGACGCTTCAGACTCACTTCTACTTTACACGTGCAAATCTGCTTTATATAATATATAATTATAAGTATATAAATGCATTGTATTTGTTTGGACTGGAAATATGTTGACCATTTTAAATCATTTCAGCCATGTTGTTGGAGGTGATTGAAATAGGAGTGACCAAAGGATGACTATAACCAGCCAGAGGAAATGGACTGATCTCTCTGGTTAATGTTTCACCCTTCTCATAGGAACAGCACACACGATCACAGTGCTCAGAATTAATGGAGGAACTCAGAAAATGATCTCACATCAGAACTAGAGGCAAAATATGATAGCATGCCGAGTCGCAAAATTATGGTTTGGTATTACCGACTGTTGGTTGCTTCCATTATAAATTTCCTTAATGTTCACTGGGAGTCGTGAATAGTGATCTGGCTTTTGTCTATTTGTATGGAATTCATGACTTCATGCTTTTAATAAGGTAAGTACTTTTGTTTTGCACATCTCAGTTTTTAATGCTTAGTAGTGAAGGAGCCAACGTGCAAATTATATTCATCTTTTTTTTTTTTAAGAAAAAAAAAAGTTGTGATTTCTGCTTTGTGTTGGGGAGAAGACTATAAGTATTGATCATTAAGTTTGAGAGGTTTTTTTTTCTTGGAAGTTAGATGTTGTGCGCGTGTGTGTGTGTTCACTATAACACAAAGGCTGGCATGTCATATATATATATATGTATGTAGAGGTTTTTAATCATAAGCGTTGACGCTTGTCATTTGGCCTCATTCATGAAACTTTCTGTGTAAGTTTGTAAAACCCTTCGTCAGTTGTTACAGTAGTCCAAAAGTTTGCTGACAAATGATTTGTTGCATTGAGTTTCATGAAGACCCATTGTATTATATTTAATACATAATTACATTCTAAGAGACACTGTACAAATCAAATCAAAACCTACATTGATTATGGAATTTTTATCGTCAATCTTAATTAACTTTTATTCAACACTCTATGTGCAGCTCATGGACCACATTCTCTTACATTAACCACCCTTAACCTTTTTTCCAGGGACTTGCCCAGTGTTTTGTGGAATAGTCAGGTCCTGCTGGAGCATATTTCCAAAGTTAATTAGCTGGATTGTAAAACACTACACCTGGGAAGTGAGTCTAAACTGGCCATAGTATCACACACGGATCCAGCAGTGGGAAGGTTAGCCATGTGGATTTGTCTCACTAACTTACAACTTAAGAAAAACCATGGGGCTAGCTTGAACAAAAGTGTGATTCCCACCAACATGGTGGAACTGACTTTGAGTAAAAAAAAAGTATTATGAAGATCTGCTTTCCAAGCATTTTGCAATCAGATAAGATGTCGATAGCGTCCTTAGATTGTATTGTTTTGAAAACATTACAATGAATAGTTACACCAAATTATTTCTTCCTTATAGACTTGTGAATTAGTTTGTGAAACACTTAGCATAAGTGGAGTTAATGCTTATGAAACAACAGTTGATTTATTACCTTACCTATTTAATTTTAAAAAATTGTCGATATAATTCTTGTCTGTTCCTTTTAATGCTATAAATGAAGTATCTGTGAATGATTTATGAAAAACGTATATAAAAAAATCTAGAACCATTGTAAAATAAATGATAAAAACAGGAATAAAAAAATTAAAAAAACGGCAGACTGCATCTCCCATTCAGACTTGTTTCTCATGCAGAATGAATGAATTTAATGAGTGAAGCTGTTCACTTAGAATCTGGGCACAACTACAAAATGGCCGACACTTGGAATATACTGTATAGGGAATAAAATAGGGAGTGGTTTTGACCACAAGGGTCAGTTCAGTTCAAGCTCACACATTTCTCTGCTGTGGGCTATCTGGGCCATTCTACAGAATTGGTCCAAACTGCTGTCCCACAACCAAAAAAACACATTTAAAAAGCATTGAGTTTACTAAGATCCTTCTATTATCTATTGAAGCACATAATATTTAAAATATCAGTAAGCTTAATATATACAATCATTTATTAGGTACTTTCAGTTGGGAGGTGGCTGTCCCGAGCCCTAACCCCTAAATTTTCTTATGAAAATTGTATTAAAATATTTTTTTTTGTTGTTTTTAAAAGTATCTTTTTTATTCTTTTAAAAGTGACATTCAAAAAAAAAAAAATCTGTGTGTGTAACTTTAAAGAACATCACTACCGAACACCATTTTCTGCAATTATGCACACTTTTTTGGGAATTATTCCATAACATTTAGTTTTTATATCTTATATATTGTTTCAGTAGTGACACAAGGGAACACATAACCCTCATATTTGGGGGAAATAAACAAAATGTTAGTACAGTTATGCATTTTTTTTTTAGTAGTGTTTTAGTATGCGAGTTAAAATTCTTTAATGTGATGTGGTCACCAAAGCATTACTGTCACTACTGAAAAAGTGCAGTCACTACTGAAACATGGGATGTTTTGTCAAAAATAAAGCATACTGAATTATCAGCTAAGGTGTTAGGATAGTTTTTGGTTCAATGTACAGTATATTCAAACTAATGAATCCTTAAAGGGATAGTTCACCCAAAAATGAAAATTTGATGTTTATCTGCTTACCCCCAGGGCATCCAAGATGTAGGTGACTTTGTTTCTTCAGTAGAACACAAATGATGATTTTTAACTCCAGTCGTTGCAGTCTATCAGTCGTATAATGCATGGCAATGGTAACAAAATCTATGAGAGTAAAAAAAACATGCACAGACAAATCCAAATGAAACCCTGCGGCTCGCGACGACACATTGATGTCCTAAGACACGAAACGATCGGTTTGTGCCAGAAACAGAACAATATTTATATCATTTTTACCTCCAATACACCGCTATGTCCAACTGTCTATGAAGCTATGAGCTTCTCCACCCTTCTTCCAGACTCTAGGACCTTGGTTTCCAAATGAAATACAAAACTTGCTCTCATCTGAAAAGAGGACTTTGGACCACTGGGCAACAGTCCAGTTCTTCTTCTCCTTAGCCCAGGTAAGACGCCTCTGACGTTGTCTGTGGTTGAGGAGTGGCTTAACAAGAGGAATACGACAACTGTAGCCAAATTCTGTGTGTGGTGGCTTTTGATGCCTTGACTCCAGCCTCAGTCCATTCCTTGTGAAGTTCACTCAAATTCTTGAATCGATTTTGCTTGACAATCCTCATAAGGCTGCGGTTCTCTCGGTTGGTTGTGCATTTTTTTCTTCCACACTTTTTCCTTCCACTCAACTTTCTGTTAACATGCTTGGATACAGCACTCTGTGAACAGCCAGCTTCTTTGGCAATGAATGTTTGTGGCTTACCCTCCTTGTGAAGGGTGTCAATGATTGTCTTCTGGACAACTGTCAGATCAGCAGTCTTCCCCATGATTGTGTAGCCTACTGAACCAAACTGAGAGATCACTTTGAAGGCTCAGGAAAGATTTGCAGGTGTTTTGAGTTGATTAGCTGACTGGCATGTCACCATATTCTAATTTGTTGAGATAGTGAATTGGTGGGTTTTTGTTAAATGTGAGCCAAAATCATCACAATTAAAAGAACCAAAGACTTAAACTACTTCAGTCTGTGTGTATTGAATTTATTTAATACACGAGTTTCACAGTTTGAGTTGAATTACTGAAATAAATGACTCATCTACCCATGAAACCACACACAAACACAAAACTATTTCAGAACATTTGAACATTGTAACTAAACAGTGTTTATTTTGAACAATTCTAATAATGAAAACAGTGAACCAAAACAGATTTGATCAGTGATCATTTTAGAGCTAATAAACACACAAAATATTTTTTTTTACATTTGTAATTGTAATTTTTTTTCTCTGCTAATTATTATGAATATCCAGTTACTGAAAAACTAAAGCAACTATTTACAGTATAGGACACACAAGGCAGTCACTAAAAAGGGTTGTTCTGACCAACTTGGTACCAAAGTCACTGAAACACAGGAAAGAGAGAGAGCGTGTAAACAACAAATCAAACTTGCAACACTGTGTTTACATGTTGTACACACAAACAAACAAACATACATACATACATACATACATGCATACAAACACACTCAATACTCATACACACAGACAAATCATGTAGCCCTCTCATATTTTCCCTCTTCGTTGTCATTTTTATAATCTAAAACAGCTAACATGACACAAAATCTGCAAACACATGACAAACACAAACATTCAAGAGAACGGCGTTGAAACCTACGTGCTATATGCTGCCTGTCATGCATCTCTCCGGGTCTTTCTGCTGCTGTTCACCACTGCTTCACATCACGCCCTCCAAAACACTTTCAAACAGCACACAAACTCTTCTAAAGTCGATGTCCCACGATGGAGAGATTCAGCCCTCTCATATTTTCCCTCTTCGTTGTCATTTTTATAATCTAAAACAGCTAACATGACACAAAATCTGCAAACACAAGACAAAGATTCAAGAGAACGGCGTTGAAACGTACGTGCTATATGCTGCCTGTCATGCATCTCTCCGGGTCTTTCTGCTGCTGTTCACCACTGCTTCACATCACGCCCTCCAAAACACTTTCAAACAGCACACAAACTCTTCTAAAGTCGATGTCCCACGATGGAGAGATTCAGATGCACGCTTCTGAGAAAGTCCGCTCGCGGATAAACACTGCGTGTAGCGCGCGACGCCATTCTGTGACCGCAGCGTGCGCACAGACGAGAGCACACTCAGCTCAGAAACACACACTCGCTTTGCGCACGGGTATTCTTCAAGCATTCTTACGTCAAATGTGCAAACTGTCAATCACTGTAAGCGTGCTTGTGGTTGGCTAACACTTCCATCCATCAAAACGTTGCTGGCTAGGCATTGGCTGGCTTCAAACAGCCCAAAACTGGGAGCGCAGATTGGCACCTCGCTAAACCTGTCAGCGACTCCGTCTCTGTTCTGGGTTATAACATCGCCTGTGATTGAAGGAGAGAGACTGGGAGGGCTCATTTTGCTCGGAAGAGACTATTCTATATGAAACAAATGCCATTTCAAAGCTGGAATCGATATTTCTTTGAAAATGGACGCTATCTACAACTGTAACTCGAATCGCTCATGTAAACTAAGGAGGATCTTTCGTTTTTTCTCCTATTTTTTCGTTGTTTTGGATTAAAAAGTGGGATGCATTTTGAAGAGTGGACTCTTATCTTGAAATGTTGTGCTGGTGTTTCTTGGATTAGTCCGAGCTGACCAGAGCTATAGGCGATGAAACGTAAGTACTGCGTTCACTTTATGCATGTTAAAATGGCCGGTCCTTCAGCATTTATGCTAACCCTTTCCTCTCTGGTGTATTGATTTAAAAAACTCAGAACATGGATCTTGAGAGTTTTAGCTTCCAAATGATATATAGTTTATGATAGTTGATTGAATATTGTTTTAAAACAAAGGTAATAAATAGCACAGACACGCCTAAACACGCCCTTCGGGCCGGTGCGGGTTAACAGGTTAATAGTCCCTTGATTTGAGCAACGTTAAAGTCCCTTGGGGTCAGATAGACCCCAAACTTTTACAGAGCGATTGCACAAGGAAATATAATTTTTTTTTATGACAAACTATATGTCATTTTTTTATTTACTTCTCAGCTATACATTTATGCTGTGTTTTTGTGAATATTTGGTCGTATTTTACCTATTTATTGCACAAATACTCAACTATGCCATAAATTGGCTTATAAAAAAATATTTTTTTATGAAAGAATCCCTTAAATTATTACCTAAATTAAATATAAAATGTTTCTGGATATTGGCCCATGTGTTAGGGATATAATACTGCCATCTGCAGGTTAGAGGAAAGTCTTTAGGTATTATAGTTAAAGAAAGAAAGTGCAATGACCACATATATCCAGCAGAGGTCCATAGGGACTCATTAATTTTCAGTTCAGTTTCAAGTCCATTTGTCTTCATGTTTCAATGTCTCCTCACAACTTTGATATATATTTTGTGAATATATATATTTAAACATTCTAAAATACATAAAAAAATCTGTATTTTGTATTTATTTTTGTTGTCTGATATATTTTGAATTGTTTGCTTTTGCAAATTATACAT